GGGAAAGACGTGCGGTCCCCACAGGAGCACCAGCCTGTGCTGGCTGCTGCAATGTCTGGATCCTGTCCGGATGTCCTCTGGCTGCAGCTGGGCAGCGCAGGGTTTCTAGAGCCCCCCCTCCCTGTATTACCCCAGCAGCCTCCCCGTGCTCACTACCACCAGCCCAGCCCCGCACCAGCCTGGTAGCAGCCAGGGACCCACCTCAGTCCCTGCCACACCGACCACCCCCATGGGACCTCCTGATCACCTTCCACATTGACAGTGAAGACGATGCTGTCATCACCGGTGTCGCAGAGATACTCCCCTGCATCCCTGCCCGTGGTACCCAGGACAATGAGAAAGCGTCGTGCCCCATCCTCCTCCAACCGCACACGTCCTGTGTCCTGCAGCTTCTCCCCATCCTTGTACCATTTCACCTCCCCATGGGCATGTGAGAGGTGCACCTCCAGCACCAGGTCCTCCATGGCTCGGCAATGCCGTTGCGTTGGAAGGGCATCCCTCTCCAGGATTCTGACTAGTGGGTCTGCAGTGCCCAACACCAACAAAGCAGGGGGCTCCAGAGTCTATTCACCCAGCACCATCCACCAGGCTCCCCCCCAGCCTCTTACTCACCTAACACTTGGACAGTGAAGGTCACTGTGTCGTCAGTGGCATTGCAGATGTATTTTCCAGAGTGCTCAGCCTGGGCCATGGGAATTAGCAGGCGGCGACGAGCACCGTCCTCCTCCAGGACCAGGCTGCCTCCAGCCTCCAGCCTGATGCCCTCCTTGGCCCAGTACACGTGTGCATCCGCACGGGACAGCTCACAGCGCAGTGCCACCGTCTCTCCCTGGGACACCATCACGACAGGGACAGGTCTGTGGGGCTGCAGGATCCTCACTGGTGGCTCTGCAAGGATGGTGATGTGATGCAAAGTGTGATGTGTGTGCTGTGATGCAAAGCAGTGCGGGGACAAAGTGACCCCAGGGACACCTCTGCTGCCACCCCCAGGCAAGCATCCATGCTGGGTGGCCTAGGGTGTGGGCACCCACCAGCTTCATCACCATAGAGGAGCCAGTCCCCCTTGGCCAGGCTGGGAAAGACCCTGTGGCCAGAGCCCTATCAGTGCCTCCCTGCTCCCAGGTCCCCACTGACCTGACACTTTGACATCGAAGGAGACGGCCTCATCCTTGCTCTCACAGATGTACTCGCCCGTGTCCTCCACACTGCTCCTGGGGATGAGGAGGCAGCGCCAGGCTCCCTCCACCACCAGTAGCAGGTTATCAGTCTCGTCCACCTCCAGCCCATCCTTGAACCATCGCACAGGAGCATGTGGCACAGAGAGCTCACATCGCAGCTCCACACGCTCCAGTGCCTGCACCAGCAGCTCCAGCGAGCGCTGCAGAGGGTGCAGGATCCTCACTGGTGGCTCTGCCAGGGATGCGGAAGAAGGGTGTGAGACCTTCTCACTGGCTCTGTTGTCCCTACTTAATGTCACTTGTGTCCCTGTAGGGCTGAGTGGGTGCTACAGCCTCCTGCCCCGGTGCAAAGGGACAGGAGCTGTTCAAGGACACAGGCAGTGGGCCCATGGTGCCAACCCATCATAGCTGAAGGGGGACACCCACCAGTCCCTGGGTAAGGCAGCTGCAGCCCCTCCTCTGCAATGCTGAGGGCAGGAATCAGGGCTGGGACCCCACGGCACAGAGCCAGGGCAGTGCTGCCCTTCCCAGGACACCCCTGCTGTGCCACCAACCTGCCACGGAGACGTGGTAGGAGACAGACACATCCCCAGCATCGCAGACAAACTCCCCTGTGTCCTGTGGCCGGGCACAGGGCAGCACCAGCTGCCACCGCAGTCCCTCCTGCTCCAACCCCTGGCTCGCGCCTGCCTCCACCTCCTCCCCACCCTTGTACCAGCGCACTGGGGCCACCGGGCGGGACAGCTGGCACCACAGCTCCACACGCTGCCCAGTCATGTAGGCATGGGGGGCCTCCTTGTTGGAGCTGATAATCTTCACTGGTGCTTCTGCTGGGAGACACATAGAGGGGCTCAGCCACGGTACTGGGTGAGCCGCACATGAGGACAGGCACCCCCCAGGCAGCTTACCTCTCACAGTCACCCTGAAGCTGGCGGCACCATCCCCAGCATTGCAGGTGTATATCCCTGAGTCAGACAGTGTGGCTGTCGAGATGTGCAGCCTCTGCAAGCACCCCTCTGAATGGGTGGCCAGGACTTCGGTCAGGACCACAGCCTTGCCATCCTTCAGCCAGTGGACAGGGGCATCTGGGGGGGAAACCTGGCATTCCAGCAGCACAGGCAACCCTGCCAGCACCTCCTGGAGCTGCTGTGCCTTGGGCACCGGGGCGATGCAAACCTGTGGGGCTGAGAGGACCAAGATCCTGTGCCACATGGCCTCCATCCTACCTGCCTGGGGGCTAGCAGCCAGCATGATCCCAGCCCTGCAGCACTGGCAGGC